TACCCCAACGGATCGTATTTCTGTGAAAGATTGGTATTTTTGTCCAGATTTGTAGGAATCTGAAAAACGCGTTTCACAACTTGTCTCTTATTTAGTTTTATGCATGTCGGATTATTTCTGAGAACGTTCTTCGTGTGGGAAATCACAAAATCCTTACCCTGTACAAATGAAATGAATCGACATGCGATGATTGCCAAAACAATTTGACAATCGGTGTCTCATTTGTTCACCGCCCCTCAGCACGGTGTTTTGTTATGACGGTGATTTGTTATGAGGGGTATTTTTCCCGGTCCTTTTCGTCGGAAATTACGAATTCATTGGCTCTAATATATCCTAGTTTTCTTTAGTTGTTTCATCCGAGTATTCTGTACATTGTTTTTACCTAGCAAAGGAAACAATCGGTGTCTGGCTTTGTCTGGCTTATTTACACTATTGCAACACCTAATGTGGGCCCCGGCGTGGGCCTCGTGTTTCACTGTTTTTTTTCATTGAATATTACACGGCACGATATCCCTCAAATAGGAAGGCGCATTTATTGCTCGAGTTACTGTTCTTATTAAGTTAAGCCATGGAGCAAAAAAATATATATTTAAGCTGAATACCATGCTTCATGTGGAATGTATAGATCATGATGTCCTGCCTGGTAAACAAAAACATGCGAATAGGTTTTGTTTCGAGCCACTTAAAATGTCCTGTGTGTATTTTTGGTTGGTACTCATCGCGTGCGACGTGCCCCAGATAGTGTCAATTTATACGCAGTAACAAATGAGACGCGTTGGGGATTACTTTGAATTTTATGTACCGAGAAGTCAGCCGTAAATTATTAATATTTGTTATGGTACTGAGCTGTACGATGGTTGTAATTTTACCATGTCGATTCTCGGGATATACACACCAATCGAAGGGGCTCTAAAGATTGTGATGCCTTCCTTATTAATATACATAACTAAAAATAAATATATATATATATAATATTTAATGACACACATATTGATGTTAAGATAGTGGTTTGAATTTTAGATATTTAGATTGTGATTGTTTGTCAGAAATTTACATAGTTGTTCTTACTACTTCGCGTTTTCCGTGTTAACTAAATTTCTAAAATATTTTTAAATGCCCTACAAGTTTATTTTGGGCATTTATTTGTTTACTATTTTCGTTGCATTTCATTTTCCCCAATGTTTTATGAATTATTTCAGTTTTCTTTTTAATGTTTCAATTTTGTGTAGACTTTTTAAGCATAATTTTAAGTAGGCTTATTGTAGGTATACGATGTCTATGTGTGTAGATGACTACTGGTGGCGCCCTATTTAATAGATTATTCATAATTTGTTTATTATTTTCAAACATTCCCGAATAATACATCATGACCCCTATTCCCTCAGCACACGAGAGTTCTTTCTAAGCATTCTTTGGTTCAATTGTTTTTTGGGGGGCAGGGCAAATATCCGTATAATACAAAATCATTGTTAGAAAGGCAATGTTCCTCATTTGTTCACTATTTCGCAGTAATTACAGACATTATTCCAGTAATGCCTTGACATTGAGAATCATTTCTCAGCAATTACAGACATGTGTCCAGTAATATTGTGACATTGAGAACCATTTCCCAACAATTACAGACATGTCTCTAGCAATACTGTGTATGTAAATAGTATATGTCAACGGTCTGGTCTGTTCATATGGTGTTACCAGACTGTATCAAAGACCAAACTATGCAAATTAATCAGTGTGTGTTATTAAGCATCTTGCAAACATACTCAGATAAACAGGTGACTTAGGTTTAACTATTATTGAGATGACATCATAGTAGTGTTACAAATTAGAAGACAGCGCAGTAGACAGTAACTTATTTATTAACGAAGCGAACCGTCGCCCTTTATACCGCAGTGAACTGTTACAATTACTTGGAAACACAGCACATAATGAATTGAGTTGAATGATTAGTATATTAAAAGAGTTCATGATATCGTAGGAGCGGTGGACTTGCCTTGTTTGTGCTAATAGATATATTTGAAAACAGAGTAGTGAGAATAACAGAACACTAATCATACGTTCTTCAATTGGGTATAATATATTCAACTCACCTCTCGAAACCTGTGCAGCGTTCTCCAGTGCCCTGTGCTGTTTCCATACATCATCTTCGGTAAATTGGTCGTGGCCGGGACTGAACTCTTCGAAGGCCGACACCGTGATGTTGTTCATTTCAAACTCATCTCTCATTGCCATAGCAGCGATCTTCCAGAGGTTTTCCTGTGATGTCAATATGGCCACGTGGTCCCAATTGTAATGTTGAAATATTGTAATGAAAAATCCAGTTAGTTTTGTATACGGTGCGACGGTCCTCGCAAATGTTGGATATAAACCTTTGTCACTGAGTAGGCTACTTGCACAATTCCACGATACCTGTGGTATTTCCCATTTCGCTGTCAGCAATCCAGTCGGTTCGCATACCACACTACATCCAGATCCAATCATTGCGTCCATCGGTGTACCATCGAACTTTCCTGACCATAGGTCAATTGTTTCGTATAGTCCGATGCTGGCAGTGCATTCGTCATTTCGCCAGGCGTAGGTTATGTTATGCCCGCCGTTATGTATTGCTGCAAACCGTGGGTCTGAAAGAATGTCGTCTAAGGCAACGTTGACAGCGCCGGCAACATGAGGTCCGACAGCCCAAAATCCGTCCCATGGTATGAGTACTCCAAGATGAAAGTTCTTTGCTGTAACAACTCGAACGTTTCGACTGAAAATAAATATTACGGTGACGACAGTAGCCAGTAAAACTGTATTTGTTTTTATATCCATGATTTCATAGATAATATATTCCAACACGTCTGTATCAGGGCTGACGGTACTGCACTAGCATAGGGGAGGTATAGCCAGATGAGTGAAAGTCTGATATGTTCAGGAATACAGGATCAAAGGGTCGCATATGTTCAAGCCCAATACCGTGAAATTATTACTCCAACAACAATTAACGCGGTGCTAATTAGTAATACGGTACCGATATCCGCTATATGTGTTCTAATACCGAGCGTGTGTCTGTGTTGACACCACACTTTGCTCCTTCCAACGCTGTACGGAAAAGAACAATGAGTACGCTCTTCTCTCTCTAACTCTCTGCGAATATATGGGTTCCCAGACACGTTACAAGAACCGAACAGCTGATACATGAGATAGTGACGCTCCGCTGCTCCTGTAGGTATAAAATTGATTGATCATAATGACAATTTGGTCGCGTTGGGGAGCAAACGTAAATTTAGCCAGAACTACTGAAGTGGATTGAAGAGTATAATATGAATTCAGTTACTACTGGGTTAATACGGTGTAGTATTCATATAAATTGAGTTAGTAGTAATAAGCTGAAAAAGCAAAATTAAACACACTCTAGTTTACGTAAAATATACTGTGCAGGCACACAGGTTATATTTAATGCGATATATCGGGAACATGTTTTATCACGTCTGCCATATTTATATCGGGGTCGTAAATGTATAGCTAGACAGGTCATTGTCTCCCACCCAGTATGATATAAATTTAAAATACATTTCTAAATAAAAATCCAGGTAAATCATATAAACAGTTAATTTAAAATGTCTATATGTCAAAATGAAAAATCACCAAATTTGCATATTAATGGATAGTTTGGATTAATGACAATAAATTTCAGTCTCAATCTGATTTATTAGAATTCGGATTACATTAAACCCTCATGTCGTATTTCACGATGTGTATTTTTAACTAAAAACACACGTGACTACAGACAAATTGCTTACATCACGTGATAGACGTGTGTTGTATACGTCACATCCGTTCTATAGCGCAACCAGAATGTGTTTATGTTATATTTGTAGTTGTTGTTTTGTTATTCTATTACTGCATAGGTCAAAGTTCATTTTCTGTCATGATTAAAACATAAGATTTCAAACGACCCCTTTCTCGTGAAACTTTGTGTATGAATAACGATAATTATTACTGGGAATGACAAGAGTCACCATGGTGACACTACTTTTACATAAATAAATGTACTACGAAGTGTGTTAAAATACTGGTGGTTTGATATGTACCTTGACTTGGACAAATTCCAGTCATATCAGATATAGATTATTTTGACTAAGCATTCATTGGAAGATGTCGATGGAAACAAATACTCGGGAGAGGTGCCAACTTTGAGATCATTATGTTTTAACTGCTAATAACACAACAACATGCGACCAATACCGCACTATTCAGACATAAAATGATTGCTTGCACGTACACTGGAGTATACTTAATACTTAAAGCGGAACAATGAATGTGTCAAAACTGACTTTCATTTCATTTCATTTCAAGTGCTAATGAGGATTATTCTGCTAGGGTACATCAACATGACAGCGGCACATCATAACAGTTATTTTATTACGTATTTAAATACGTCGAATTTGTATCGCTCACATCGCATGTTATTTTCATATCACTCTAAACACTATAATTACTCGTCGTCTCCGTTATTGAGACAATAGTTACTATTAAGTTATTAGTTTTTATCTTTTAGGTTTCTAAATACTATAGATGGTACTGTCATTTTAGTAGGTTTTTAAGCACAATGGTTTACCCATATTCTATGTCAGGATTATTCTGTCTGACATGTGTTTTATGTATTTCGCCAACCAGTGAGTTTATTATACGATATAATTACATTTAAAGAGAAATATGCAAAGCTGGGACAGAGGCTACACAATGTGTAGACCATCGTTTCTCATCATACCCGGCATTGTGTAAACAAATAATGCTTATATATTTGTTTATACATTACGGAACATGCTGACACAATGACATGTCACTACTACTCCACGCTACTTAACTCTGTGAGAATATGTTAATATACGACATATATTCACGAGCCGCAGGCGAGTACATATGAAGTTAACTGTACAATATCATTCTGTGATATGGAAATAACACTATGTACAGAATTGCGGCAACATCTGAAACGTTGTAAGATTTATTTGTGTAATCCTGTATAAACTCGTCTTAATCGACATAATAAAAGAAATAAAGACGCCGTCAGTGCCGTTACGTTTGTTAACAGAATTCACTCACATTGTGTTTTAAGCACAAAAATATAATGAGGATTATACAACAATGTGTGTGCCTACATTAGCTGCGATACGATATAGTGTTGACACTATTAAACCATCTGTTAATTGATGAGTGATCACTAGTTTTAAATAAGAGTTCGGTAAAGCCAAATAATGTAGAACACATTTTGTATTATTATAATAAATTATTCAATAAAATGCATTAACCCAACTCAAAGTACTGCAGAATTAGACCCTGAGCAGATGATAGGGTTTTAAACAAATACTGACCCAATATATTGCCCTGGTATAGATAATTTTTAGATGTGAAGTATCAATATTCAGTTATTAATAACAATTCTTAGTGATAACCACGTTTAAAATATTGAACTGCCACACTCAGCTGGGCAAACTTATCCAATGTTTCCAATGTTAATGTATTGCTGATTAAACTTCAACTACTATGTGTTATTACTGTGTTATTTTTAATCCCTGGATTTGGTTTTGGAAACTAATTTATTTGTTTAAAAATAACTGGACGCCAAATTTATTTACGCTATGTGTAATACACACGTATTTTTTAAAAATTGTTACTTTATAGTATATTAAAATATATCATTAAAATCTAAAAATATTGAAACAAAATCAGTTTCGATATTTCCGTCACAATCTACTCATCACTTTATTTAACCTGATGTGTCACATATTGATATTTTGTTGTACATTACCATTTTAATAGTAATTTAATTTGAAAAAGCCAAATAACGGGGGCAACATTACTGAATTATATGTCTTCATAAAAAAATATTACAATTTGCATTCTGATTTCAGTTTTCTTTTTCACATAAAATATTCTGTGACCCAATACCTCAGATGGTTTTCATAATTTTTAAAACTCCTGAAAATCACTCTTCTTTAAAAATGTTGTCATTAAAATCTGTATAATACAATTTAGGAACAATGCCAATTTGTACTGTAATACATTGAACCGATTGCATTTAATACTTAACATGTAACACCCACTATGTATCAGTCACAAGAAGGCATTAAGAATTGATGTCAGGTGTAAAATTAAATTCTAGCGTACATAACATTAAAACGAGACACAACATAGTTAGAAACTGTTTTAATTTCGTTTCTTCAATTGCCTAGCTAGTTTGAAATACTGTTCAAACAAATTGTTGCAACGATTATAGAAAGTTGTGTTGTTGTACTATTCTATTGTCGTTGTTGGTACAATTGGAACACCATTCATTTATGAATACTTATAAATACGGAATGAATATGGACATTAGTATGCATATTTCTACTGTCGCTTTGCATCGTAAAAACGATCCGGATATCATTCAAAGTAATTAAGTATTTTGCTTGGGGCTGGACCAGATTTATGCGTTTCTAAATATGTTGCATCTGGTGAAACCCTAAAGGTATTTACATAGTTCAGCCGACCGTACGATCGGTTAAGAAACAACTCGATCATGTATTGTCTGGTGGAAAATACAGATTACGTCATTGAATAGCAAAGCACTGGCGGCATGTCGCAATTATCTGCGTAAGTCATTAAATTCATCATTAACCGAGGCAGGTGCAGTACTCAATACTCATAATTGTTCGAGACTTTTAAAATTGAAGGCATAGCAAGTTTGACATAACGAACCTCATTGAATGGAAGCTCTCGACTCATGGCTGAAACATATAATAATTAGGCTTGATTGCTGATATATTACTCGTTATATCAAGACTACTATGTCGCATTGACCAACTTCAGAATATTCTATATTCAGATTTGCCTTCTATTATTTGAGTATTTGTTTGTCTTAAAATCTTATAATTAAATATATAGCAGATTTTGCGGAAACGTATTGAAAACAAACATGTGTCTTCTGCTTTGTTTAAAGCCATGTCTATTTTAATGGCATCAAGTATATAGTTGTCATTGTAACTAACAAAAGTTATTTATTATTTAATTCATAGGTTGCAAAGAATTGTCGTCAGTTTCTAGCATTGAACATACTCACACTAGACATTCATAACGTATGCATTTTTTGTTTAACATTTTACAATGTTTACATGTTCTGTGACGAACACAAAAACTGAAGGATGTATACCAAACACAACATTAAAGTGCAATTAAAGAATCAAAATGCGTGTTATAACATATAAATCCAAAGTTCTGTATTGTAGAACTCCATACAGAGTTGGGAATATATCTATTTGAAACATGGCTGGAAAGGGTACGTTACCCTTGTACTATTTGTAAATTGTAATTTAAGAATACAACATTTTAGAAACGCAGAGACAATTAACTGAACAACTGGTTTTCAGTTAACATGTTCGTTAGCATGCTTGTTTCGTTGTATTAATCGTGAATTGTGCCATTATGTAGAATCGTTTTTACAACATGTTCTGTCACGTTCTGCTATGACTCTGCTCAATGCAGGATTTAATGTTTTCAATTCATGTACTTTTACTGAATATGTAACGTTCATTACAATATTAACGCGCATTCCCAAAGTTGAGATCAACATTAAACAAATAAATGACACACTAACACGTTAACATTTTCTTAATATATGCATTAGATAAGCAATTCCATGCATGTATAATTAGACAATGACTATTGCTTTTCTCATCAATTGTTAGGAACATAATGTACGTGTATTGTATATATAAAGTGGTGTGCATAAGATAGACTCTGCGGGTTCTCTAGAACCTTCAATTTTAATATTTTTTTGTCCAGACTCG